GACCAGGGCAGGAGTGACTTTTTCTTCTTCTTTTTAAAAATGTATGTCTAGCCCTGGCTGGTGTGGCTCAGTGGACAGTGTTGCCCTGCAGACAGAAGGGTCCTGGGTCGGATTCCGGCCAAGGGCACATGCCGGGTTGCAGGCGCCATCCCTGGCCCTGGTGAGGCACCAATCGGTGTCTCCCTCACGTGGATGTTTCTCTCTCCCCCCGCCCTTCCACTCTCTAAACATCAATGGAAAAGCATCCGGGGGTGAGGATTAACCAAGGAAAAAAGAGCAGCAGCAGAGGGTGTAAGGGGCACGGAAGCTCGAGGAGGCCCGGGGTCCGATTCCGGGCTATGACCTCCTTGAAGGTTCATCCCCGGGGGAGGCATTGCTTCGGGCATCGGCCCGGTATGTTCCTGTGGCCGCCGCGCTGACGGCTGGCAAACACCAGCCTCGCCCCGGAGAAGCCCCGTCCTGGACCAGCTCGCGCGGGGCCTGCCGGTGAGGCCCACCTTGCGGAGGCACTTCCTGTGGAACCCGCACTTCCTGTGGGACACCAGGCAGGCGGGAAGCCCGGAGACTGGGGAGCAGAGCAGCTCCTCCCGGGGGCCCTCCACCCCTGGGAGGCGGGGTGACCTCTGGGCGACCTCGGGTGGCCCCGAGGAGCGAGGAGGCGGCCACAAACAGGACAAGCAGAGCCCGTGCCTCACTCCAGATGCCTCGCAACCGGGACAGGGCCTGGACCCTGGCGTGGGAATGGGGTGAGTGTGAGGACAGGACGGACCGAGGGCGCGTTCCCTCCTCCCGAACTGAGTGCAGGGCCTCTGCTTGTTCCCTCCCGGGTTTTGCCCACGTCTGCGTGTCTTGCCGTGTGAGCTCTGCCCTTTGGCTCTGGGATCACTTGGTGCTAACGTCTGCGAGTGCGGGAAGGGTCCAAAGTCGCCTTGTGCATGTGACTGTGCGGCCTCTGGCGCCGTTTGTTGAACCCTGCGTCCAGCCCGGCCGGCGTGGCTCGGTGGCTGAGCGTTGACCTATGAACCAGGAGGTCAGGGTTCGGTTCGATTCCTGGTCCCCAGTGTGGGGCCTGCAAGAGGCAGCCGAACGGAGACTCCCTCTCATCATTGATGTTTCTCTCTCTCCCTCTCCCCTCCTGACATCAATAAAATATATTTAAAAAATAAGCAAAGCCTGGCTTTTCCGCTGAATCTGCCTGGTGCCCTCGCTGACATTTAAAAAAAATATATTTTCATTGATTTCAGAGAGGAAGGGAGAGGGAGAAATAGAGACATCCATGATGAGAATCATGGATCGGCTGCCTCCTGCACGCTCCCCACTGGGGATCGAGCCTGCAACCTGGGCCTGTGCCCTTTACTGGAATTGAACCCGGGACCCTTCAGTCCGCAGGCCGACGCTCTATCCTGAGCCACACCAGCGAGGGCCTTCTGTGCAGCTTTTTGTAAACCAGACAGTCTTTCTTTAAGGAAAAGGCCTGGGCTGGCAGGAAAGGCGGGGCTTGCTCTCCTGAGTGTGCATTTTTTCGCTTCCCTCCCACCCACCCTCCCGGGGCCAGAGGACCCAAGGCGGGCGCAGCGGGACCCGAGGGCGGGGCGGCCCGGGCTCCCTCACACTCCAGGCTGGTGCTGACCCCAGCAATGCCGGCTGTGGGCCCTGAACCTAAACCTCCCAGGGGGCCCCGCGCCCAGCCCTGCTCCCAGCCCTTCTGCTGTGCTGGGTGCTCTGTGCCGGGAGGCCCCGGGGAGCTCTGCCCACGCCCGCCTCTGTGCCCTGGAAACCTCATCCCATCCACCCCACCCTCTGCTCTCTGCCCTGCACTGGGCCCCGGCCAGGCCCGTCCCTGCCAAACCGCCCAACCAGATGGGGCACTTTCTCCCTCAGTCCTGGCCCAGCAGGCGTGGCATCATGGGGGCCAGGCTGGTGAGATGCCAACTGCCCGCTATCCAGGCACATCGGCACGCAGGTGAGTCGGTGCCAGGCTGGTGCTCCAAGTCGAAGCAGCTGAAGGAGACCAGGCGGCCCTGAGGCCGGAGGACTGACCGGAGGCTGCTGTGGTCGCATCCCTCAGGCTTTCACAGACAGGAAGTATTTCCCTATAAATGACCTGACTTCCAGCCCCAGCCAGTGTGGCTCAGTGGATGAAGCGCCGGCCTGCGGGCCAAAGGATCCATGTACCTCTGTTGCAGGCTCCTCGGCATGTACCTCGGTTGCAGGCTCCTCCCTGGCCCTGGTGGGGGCCGTGCAGGAGGCAACCAATAGATGTGTTTCTCTCACATCAATGCTTCTGTCTTTCTCTCTCTTCCACTCGCCCTAAAAATCAATGGAAAAATATTCTTGGTTGAGGGTTAAGCAAAAACAAAAACAAAAGAAACCACCACCAAAAAGTGATGTGACTTCAGGGTTTGCTCCCAAATACTCCAGCGGGTGCGGAGGGCCTGGGTGCTCACCGCGGAAGCTGGGGTGGGAGGTGGGTGCGGGCGGCTGGTTCTGACAGCAGCCTCACTGAGGTTCCGCGGTTTTCAATGTGGTCACAGCTGTGCAACCACCGTCACCTTCTACAATCCTACTTATCTGCCTGATGCTCCGACCGGGGTTGGGTCCTGAGGCTGAGCGGGCTGGGCTGCCCAGACCTCCTGGCCTGCTGATCTCTGTCCCAGGCAGTGCCCAGCTCCCCCGCCCTGCCCTGCCCATCTGAGGGCCTCCGGTCCAGGCTCTCCCCAGCCCTGGGCTTGCTGGACCAGCACCTAGTGTCCAGGAGCCCGACTTGGACTCGGGCACCTCCCACAGCGAAGGGGAGGGCCACCAGCTCAGCTAAGGGGTCTCCCGTTCCAGGTGCCGCTGGGCAGGGGTCCTGTGGGGTCCTGGTGAGCGGGACCTGGGAGCGCAGCACCGACCAGACCTCTCAGCTCGCACACATGCCCACGCCCCATGCTGGTTTAGGGCTGCCATCCCCACACCCCAATCCCTT